GTATGTAACGCCCCAAAACATACCCTAAAATTATTATTGAATTACTATTCAATTAATCAAATTTGTTTTGATTAAAATAAATTATTGTTGGTCTTTGGGATGACATAATCAATATCACAATCTAGATAAATCTCATAAAGATAAATCCAATATGTTGACCTATTGTGTAATCTTGACTGGGAACCAGAGTACATGTTAAGTCACAAAATGTCATATTTTATTCCCTCATTTCTTAGTACTTTTATGACAAATTATATGCATTTTATACCAAAATAAACATATTTTCTTATATTTAGCATTTTAGGCTAATGTTTATATTTTATACATAAAATGCATGATTTTAAACACATTCATAATTGAAAATTATTTTGGAAGTACTATTTTACTTGACACAAATTTTTAGACATATTTTAGAATACAAAGAGATGAATAAGATGTCAAAGTTGGGCTCCACATCCGAAGAATAAAGAATTTGGGCCAATCCCAAATTAGAACTTGTCCCAAAATCAAACTCATGATAAATAAATAAAGGGAAGGAGAAAAAACTCATCCTTAGCGGGAGAAGAGACCCGGTCGGGAAACAGAACAGAGTCCTTCCCCAAATCTAATGCAAATTCCAAGAATCCTACTCCAAATTGAAGATTCCAAACTCCATAATTATAAAAGGAGACACAAGCCACAAGAAAAATCATCTTCTTCAACCCCAAATCCAGAGGGAGATCGGAGAACAGAGAGAGAACGAATTGGAGCAGACGAAGAGCCGACCTAGGGTTTTGACCCTAGGTCTGGCGCCGCAATGTTTGGATTTGGTTCCAGCGATGGCAACTCCGGCGAGGATGGACGGCTGCTGAGCAGTAGATGATGACCGGCGTCCCTTGACTTCTGGCAAGAACGAGGCAGAGGACCCAGGGAGCAACTCTTCCCTTTTCAAATTCTGTTTTGTTTTCAAATACTCTGTATGGTATTTACTTTGTTCAATTCCAAATTGATGAATTTGATTATCCAGTATTAAATATGTTTATTTTCAATTCCAATTTTGTGTTAAATGTTTAAGTTATATTATAAGTGTTGACTTGTTTGAATGTTGATGTTGAATTGTCCAAATATGATTTATTGATTTATTATTGTCTCTGAAATTATAAAACCTTCTTAGGCCGAATTATTTGACAAAAAGATTGAATCTTTGATTTGATTGTTCTTGTTGAATTAGTTTGACTTTGAAGAGATTTTAGCTCTACGCTACTCTTAGATCTAAACTTGAAAAGGTGTTCTGAGAATTGTTCTTTGTTTATGCTTGAATTGGGCTCAATTAGGAGTGCACGCCTAATCCAATTTAAATTGATATTCTTTTAAAGTCCAAAGTTCTTTAAATAGCCAAACTTTTCTAGAAACTAAGTGTCACTTGATTAGTACTTGGCTGCCTCATTAAGTGGTTTTTGCTAATCAAGGTTCTCGAACTGATTTTGTTAAATAACCGTAGTTTTACTGCAAAGTTGTTATGGTGATGTTTTCCACAAATCTTAATGCGCTATTCTTAGTAGTAACTTAAGGGTTGGTCTTTGGGTTGCTAAGGGTAGTAGGGTTTGGAGTTAGGGTTGGTCTTAACATGAGCTAATATGAATGGGAAAATAGGGAAGAACCGTTGGTGGACCTCTTCTTCAGCCTAACCCTGAGTTTGTTTAGCAGTTTACTTTCAGAATCAAGACATAACAAATTAAGGAATCATAGTTGTTCAGTTTTTTTTCTATTAAAAACTATAAGTATTTTCAAAATGGTTTAAGTTAATTATTATTGTCTACATTTTTATAAAGTTTATTGCGTGATCGTTTTTGTGTGTTTGTTTTCTCCCTGAGTGTTCTTCTAAGTTTGAGTTGCTGTTGCGGGTCTATCTCTTATCTGTTGTCCTTATCTTTATTTTACTTTCATTTTTATCTTTTTAGAATTATCATTCAAACCCCCCATATCTTTAGTTTTAGTTTTAAATCCTAGTTAGTTTTTATTCAATAAAAGTGACAAGTAAACTGATTTTCATAGCCTAAAAAGTATCTTTCCTCGTGGGATCGACCCTTACTTGTCCTATCTATATGTTTTAATTAATATTAATTCATAAATGGGGATTTAAGTTAAGGAAAATAATAAATTAATTTGTAGGTGGTACGACACGCCTAACAGTACAGAACCAAATTAAGAATAAAAAAAGATTGTGTTTATGATGTGAACTTTGAAATGATTTATTGAAATAAATGATGAGAGTAAATAATATGAATGAAATGTGAGAACGTTTTTAAATAAAGGTCAATTAAATCAATTTTGACTCCTTCAAAATCAAACACCAAGAATGGATGTCGGAAAAAGTATAACAAATAAATATAAAAATTATATTGTTGGATAGAGTTTGACTGTCCGATCACAATGGTGCAAACGAAATTCAATTTGGAGAAAGTTGGACAAAAAAGTGAACCCTGATTGGGACCAAAATTAGTTCCAATCAGGGAAGAGTCGTGTGAATCTTCAATTGGCGCAACCTCCTCCACTATTGATCGTGAATTGGAAATCCCACGTAACAACATGTGTTCTTCTCCTCTCCTTCACTATATAAGGAAGTACATTCCCTCCCATTTCTTCATTATTTCCCTTCAAATTTGTCATGAGTGAGTGTGGAGAATGCACTGGTGCTTGTTAGTCTTGGTTTGCTAAGCCTTGCGTTTTGTTCTTAACAAACAATATAAGAGCCTAACGTTTTTTAAGTGTTTCAGGTACAACAAAATCCATTAAGATTCAGTACTCAAGAATGAAGTCGAAACACCAAACTAGCGTAGAATATGGGTAGAAACTATTGTAAATATGACTATATTCACAAGCTCAGAAGCACTCACAAAGTATGTTTAAAACTATCTTATAATCATTTTCAAACATCCAAAAGGTTTCAAATAAAATTGGAAACGTAAGGGGTACCGTGAGGAGCACCGTAAGGGGTACCGTGAGTCGATCTTAGAAGGTACTCCTATCGTCAGCCCGAAACCCCTTACTGTCAGGTCGAGACCCCCTACCGGAAGGGGTACTGTAAGAAGACAGCTACTGCTAGAGAGTTTTGGCCTGAGAAGGTACCTAGCTACGGTACGGTACCTAGCTACCATGACAAGGTACCGTAACCACTGGAGGTACTATTCCTGATTGCTGAATTTGAATTTAATCAACCCTAATCACCTCGGAACGGCTAGTTAACACCTTCCACTATAAATACAAGCCTAATCCTTCATATTTTAGCCAGAAACAAAGCTCCAAACATCCTCTCTTTATATTTTAAGAGTTTTCATTCTTTTATTATTTATTTTTAATATTTTGGCTATTTCAAGACCCTTAAACTCCTGATTTTTATACACACACTTTGAGCTTGTGTTTCTAGTTATATACTCTCATATTCATAATTTTATATTGTATTTTTCAGAGAATTTCCTTCTACACTGGCTAAGTTTTGTTCTTCAGTTTTATATTCAAGCTGTCGTGTAGAACCTTTGATTGTGTTCTTCAAGAACATCTTTTTACGGTCGAGAATAGTCGTTAAATTCTCACATTGTAACGGTCGAGGATAACTGTATAAATCCTTGGGTAGATGGTTCAAGGATAGACTTGTAAATCCTTGGGGGGACAGTTGTAGATAGCCGTGAAATCTTCATTGTATGCAATTGAAGATAGCCATTGTAAAATCTCGGAGTGAATCCTATTGGCAAGAGTTGTTTGCCAAACTAGTGCGGTGCTTTGACAGAGTTCAAGAGACCGGGACTTAGTGGATTCGGAAATCCATAAGAAGGAGCCTTATGGTACTCGAGTAGGGGTTGCTCAAACAAGTATAAAATTGGTGTGCCTCTTACTTTACGCTTTTATTTCTGCGTTTTATATATTGCTTCCACATTTGCCAACACCGTTTTTATTAAACTCTGAAAAGTTTTCAAAGACATTATTCACCCCCCTCTAAGGCGTGGACACAACTGTTAGTTCGCCTCTTGTAGTGTCCGTTCCCCAGCTTTGGTTGGCATCATTTTTTGCAAACACAACCACATTAGTTTAAGAAATATGATCTAGTAGGTGTTGTAGCATTAAGGTCTGTCATCCTATTTGGAATCAGAGTAAACATTTGGCGCCAGGACTCTGGGCGTGCTAAGAGGTTATAACAGCCATCATCACAAGTCTATCTTCTCAAGGAGTCTGGACAGATTGGAATGATTGAAACCTCGTCAAATATCCTTAGTCAAGCACGTGCGTGGTCCTGGATATCTCTTAAGTACGAGGAGTCCTTCCAGCAATATGCTAGGGTTGGTAGGTCCTCTATATATACATAACGCCAGAGAAGAAGAAGTGGGACGACGAGAGAGGCATAAAGATACGAGTGATCCAGTAAACAAAAGAGAGATTTAAGCCTACGACGAACTTGCGCAACATTGTTCATCATAAGCGTGAGGTTCTGAGTTGTGAACTCAGAATTGCAGAGTCTTGTTGTCAAAGATCTATGACACACACCCGTAAGAAGGAATATTGATCCAGGTGTTGAGTACTATGATATCCTGGAGTCAAGGCTGATCAACACGTCCAAGGAAGAAACCAAGGTGTGGGTGTAACAAGCCGGGGAGACTGGTGCTATTACTGTTTGGTACCTGAGGTCATTCGTAAGTAGTTTTTACAGTCAAACTTCTTGAAGTAAAGTTTGTGGTTGATTTGTGTAAAAACTTATGATGATCTAGTAGAGGGCTGTTATACGGACGTGGGCCTCGCAGACGTAGGAGATTCAGCTCCGAACTACGTAAACATTTTGTGTGTGTGCTTTGCTTCTATTACTTTATTATCTTTTTCGTTTGCTTTTGTGGGTGTTGGAACACTGCGTGTGTCATACATCTCTGTGTTGTTAAACATTCTCTGTTCTGTGTGTGTAACGTATCACAGTGAGAATTCTCTGGTGGTATAACCTTAGACATTTCAATTGGTATCAGAGCGGTTGAGCTTAAGTTATTAGCTCTTGATCATGGGAGACATGGAGGAAGGTGCTAATGTGCAATGTCCGCCGTTACTGCGTGGCCATAACTATAGCTTCTGGAAGAGTCGGATGAGAGCCTTTTTGAAATCGCTTGGTGGTGGAGTCTCGAGGAGTGTTGAAACTGGATGGTCAGAGCCTAGAAAATATTCAGATGACTTAACCACTTCAAAAGTGAAGCCATTTGAGGAATATAGCAGATCTGAGACTGTTGTAGCCGAATACAACGACAAGGCACTCAACACTATCTTTGGAGAAGTTGACTCTACCCAGTATAAGCTTATCTCAAATTGGAACAGTGCCAAAGAAGCTTGGGATATACTGGAAGTAACTCATGAAGGGGATGAGGAGGTCAAGACTGCAAAGTATCAAATTCTCATGACTCAATATGAAAACTTGCGCATGGATGATAAAGAGAAAATAACAGGTTTTCACGAAAGAGTTAGAGACTTAGCAAATCAAGCCGCTCGATTGGATGAACCTATTGCTGAAAACAAACTGGTCCTATAGGTCCTTAGGTCTCTTCCTAAGGAATATGACATGGATGTCAAGGCAATTAGACGCTCACATAACATCAAGACTATGACACTTGATGCTCTCATGGGCATACTGGAATCTATAGAGTTAGACATGACAGAAGACAACAAAAGAAGGAAACTAGAAAAGCAGGTGGCTTTCATTGGGACAGAGACTGAAGATGACTTTGAGCATGATCCAACATTTGATGAAGAATTTCAAGAACAGCTATCTCTTTTCACCAAAAAATTCAAAAAGCAGTGGGTACAAAAGCGAGGTGGTCAGAGACAAGAAGGCATTTCCAAAGGTCCCTATGTCAGGGATTCCAGATTTAGAGAACCCAGAGCTGCTGAAAATCGTGATAATCAAAGGAAAAAAGGGCCACTGTGCTTCGAGTGTGGAGGATATGGTCATATTCAGACTGACTGTGCAAACAACCTGAAGAAAAAGAGACATGCTTTCTCTGCTACGTGGAGTGATGAAGAACCGGAAGAACAGAGTGATTTTGTGAATTAAATTGCGCATTCACCTCACTAGTCAATATGGAAGATGAAGAGAGCTCTGCACAAGAGTTGGAAGAACTGCAGAAGAAATGGGCTCAATTGGTAGTAATCAACGAAAGGAATGTTGAAGAAAAGAGCCAATTAACATCTGAAATCGAAACATTGAGGAGAATGATAGAGAAATCCAAACTCATCGTTCAGAGATTAGAAGGTGAAAAGTCTGATTTAATTTTTGAGCTAAACAAACTGAAATACTATCAAAAATGGATGATCATCGCAGGAGCGAAACCATTGGACCACCATTCAGTAATGTCCAAGACACTAGATGACAAGACATGTATTGGCTACACTAAAAAAGGAGATCACATCAAAAGAGATAAAATCAAGTTTGTCAAGGAAACAGAGGAGAGCAAGGTTGAAACAACTGCACCACATGTGAGAGGCTCACAGTCAGGTTTTAACTGGAAGAACACTCATCTTTATCACTGTTTCAAGTGCAAGAATTGGGGGCACATTCGAAGACAATGCAGATGGTCAAACATCAAAGAAAGAAGAAGCTGGAGTACGTTCCAGTACAAAAAGATGAAACAAGTGTGGATTCCAAAACAATATGCACTTGTAGCAAACACCTGTAACAGAGTCACCCCAGATCAATGGTTGTTGGATAGTGGGTGCTCACATCATATGACAGGAGATCAGGAGAATCTTACTGACCTGAAGCCAAATGAGCAAGGAAGTGTATGGTTTGGAGGTGGAGCACAAGGTAAAATCATTGGAAGTGGTACACTAAATGTATCAGGGTTACCGCCTATAAAGAACGTGTGGTTGGTACAAGGACTGCAAGTAAATCTTCTCAGTATACAGATCTGTGACCAAGGGCTCGAAGTTCGAAGTTTTCTTCACACAACAGAAATGCCGAGTATGAGACAAGAGCAAAAAAACCGTTCTAGAAGGGGATAGAACAGCTGACAACTGTTACAAAGTCATACCAAACATCCTGTGCTTCTCAGCAACAGAACGAGATGCAAAACTCTGGCATTATAGGCTGGGACATTTAAACTATAAAGACCTTGTCTCACTCTCAAACTCTGGAGCCGTAAGAGGATTGTCAAAAATAACTAAAACCGAAGGAGAGGTCTGTGGACCATACCAGAAAGGAAAACAGACGAGAAAAACACATCTAGTCAAAGTATTCCAGTCCACAGAACGTCCACTGGAACTACTACACATTGATTTGTTTGGACCTATGAAAACTGAGAGCATATGAGAGAAAAGGTTTGTGCTCATAGTCGTTGATGATTACACCAGGTTTACATGGGTAAGCTTTCTAAGACACAAAGATGATGCTCTAGAAGCATTCAGTTCCTTATGCAACAAAATGCAAAACGAGAAGCAGCTGAAAATCAAGAAAGTTATTCGCGTAAGGAGTGATCATGGAGGAGAGTTCGATAGTCACCCTTTTAGCAGCTACTGCGACAGTTGTGGAATACTACATGAATTTTCTACACCTAAGACTCCACAACAAAATGGGGTGGCGGAAAGAAAAAATGGACATGTACAAGAAATGGCCCGAACCATGCTACATACCAAAAACCTGCTTGAGAATCTCTGGGCTCAGGCGGTGCACACGGCGTGTTACACAATAAATTGGGTGTACATCAGAAATGGTACACATGCAACACCCTATGAACTGTGGAAAGGACGAACGCCAAATCTTGCACACTTTCACATATTCGAAGCAAGGTGTTATGTTCTTCGGGATAGAGAGCACAAAGGGAAGTTTGATGCAAAGAGTGATGAAGGGATTTTTGTTGGGTACTCACCAAATTGCAGAGCATATCGAGTACTAAACAAACGTAGAAGAGCTATTATGAAATCCATAAATGTCATTATAGATGACACAGCACTGACAAGGAATCATAAGGACTCCGAAGACGATGTAACACATTCTGAATCATCACCAGAAGAAGTACCTGCATCATCGGAAACCGAAGAGCAAAATGACAGTGAAACACAACCAGAAATACCAGAGGTGCATAAAATTCCAACACATATACAAAAAAATCATCCTCTAGAAAATGTCATAGGAGATCCACAAGAAGGCATGCGCACCAGAAAAAAAGAAGGTAGACTATGTTGAAATGATTAATGCATACTATACATCCTAGATTGAATCCATGAATGTAAAAGAGGCATTGAAGGATGAAGCATGGATAAATGCAATGCAAGAAGAGCTGGGCCAATTTGAACGAAATCAAGTCTGGGAACTGGTTCCGAAGCCAGATGATGTGAACGTAATAGGAACCAAGTGGATCTATCGCAACAAAACTGATGAGGAAGACAAGGTGATCAGAAATAAAGCCAGAGTAATAGCTCAGGGATACACTCAAGTGGAAGGGATAGATTTTGAAGAGACTTTCGCACCGGTGGCAAGACTGGAATCAATACGCATTCTTATAAGCATGACATGCGTGTGGAACATGAAGCTATATTAGATGGATGTAAAAACTCCCTTTCTAAATGGGTATCTAAAAGAAGAGGTTTATGTAGCTCAGCCCAATGGATTTGAAGACACAAAAAATCCAACGCATGTGTACAAGCTGCGAAAAGCACTCTATGGATTAAAACAAGCACTACGGGCGTGGTACGACAGACTTACAGCATATCTGGCAGAGCAGGGTTACATTAGAGGAGGAGTGGACAACACAATGTTCTATATCAGATATGGAACTGATATTCATGTGGCTCAGATTTACGTTGATGATATTATCTTTGGATCAACTTCACACGCTCATATTGAAAAATTCGTAAAAGTTATGGAGAAAGAATTCGAAATGAGCATGATCAGAGAGCTGACATTCTTTCTAGGGTTACAAATCAAGCAGACCAATGATGGCATATTCATCTCACAGACAAAGTACATACAGAATATGCTGAAGAAATAGTAAATGGGTGACTGCAAAAGTGCTAGAACACATGAAAAAATTAGCAGAGATGACGAAGGGAAGGACATTGATGCAACCCATTACCGAGGAAGCATTGGCAGCCTGCTGTATCTCACGGCCAGCAGACATCAATAAACCCTCTACCAAATACACACCTTTTCAGAAGAAAATCAGAGAATGTGGGAAAATGCAACAGCCACCAGCCTCAAAAGCATTCTCCTCGAGGTATACATCCAAAAACCCTAGCACTCAATTTTCATCATCACTCCATCTACCATCGCAGAGCTCTGATCACCACAGCGACACAAAAATGGTGAGAATGAAGATCACCATACCCAAGAACTGGATGGGAAGGAAAGCTCTCAAGAAACAACTCTGGGCCAAGCATGGATGGACCCGGCTACTAGCATCTAGGAACTCAACCAAATCTGACGGAGAAATCAAAAGTCACGACATGAACATTCAAGAAGAAGCTGCAAGAATGTCCAGCACAAACGAAAGATCTGAAGAAGCTGTAGTTCAAGAAGATCTGAAAGATGATGTCATGATGCAACCATCAATCAAGATCCTAGAAGTCCTCTGTCTAAAGTACATGCCGAACTCACAAGATCAGGCACACAATAAGGAAGAGAAGGGCAAGGAGATACCAGAGGAAGAAGCGCCAGAGGTGTTGGAGGAAGAACCGCTTGTTGCATGTTCTGCTGTGCCATTCAAAGGGACTCAATCCATCCAGCAGAATGTGACCAAGAAGAGTCCGATGATCTATGGAGTCAGATGGTCCCTAAGAAGCAGCAAATCAAAGATGGAATCTGATGATCTATCACGAGACACACAGACCAATGCTCCAAAAGACACTCCCAGCCCTAGCAGTCAAAGAGGAAGTCAGAAGAGAAAGGGGAAGACAACTCCAGGTGAAGAAGAAAGCTCCAAGCAAATCAAGAAAACCAAAATGGTATAGCAGTCACCAGAAACAAACCCAAGTGACAAGAAGCTGGAATCCAAACCAGAGAAGATAATCAAAACAGGAAAGTTCCCTAAACAAATCTTTGTTTCCTCTATTGCTTGTTCTTTCATGACTGCCATCTCAAAGAAAAACATTCTTCCTCAAAGAAACATTGATGTGAAAGATTTTGAAAAGAAAACAAATCTGGTACCAATTCTGCAAAAGAGCAATCTGCTTAAGTCAGTAACCTTGTCTGGGTCTTTTGTGCAAAGAGTAGTTCAAGAGTTTTACTACAATCTGTCAGAAAGTTGTAACACCATGTCTGACCCATCTTACCACCGAGTCTTTGTGAGAGGCAAACTCTATGACTTTTCCCCTGCCAAAATCAACCACTTCCTTGGCACCAAGCCATCCTCTCCTGACCAAAATGTGAGTGAAAGTCTGATTTGGTCTGACTTAACCAATGGAGAGCGAAAAGCTCTTATGTCATCTTGTTTAGGGTTGCTGCATATCACTGGTTGCCTACAACACACATGAACACTGTTCCACTATGTATGGCCTCACTACTCTATAAAGTCAAGCATGGTATACCACTGAATCTGGGAAGAATCATTTTTGAACAAGTTATGGGCTTCTCCTCTGAAAAGGAAAAAACCAACACAAATGGCTTGCCATACCCTCTACTTATTTTTCAACTGTTAAAGTCTCAGGGTTTCACCACAGATGCAGGTGAGGAAGAAGAACCAGTTCCCCCACTGCTACAAGTTGATGCTCGCCACTTTGAAGGGAAGCATTTTAATGATCTAGCTGCAAGTCTCAATCAATCAACTGCAAAACCCTCCTCTTCTGAGTCATCTGCCATTGCCTTTATATAAGAGGAGATCAAGCTGTTGCAGGAGGAAATTGATCAACATAAGATCACCCTCAACAAGGCCAGAGCTGGAAAACAGAAACTACTTGAAGTTCTCTCATTGCTCAAAGGGAAACAACATGCTGAAACAGGAGCAAATACACAGGGGGAGAAAACCTTGGGCACTGAGGGATCTACCAGTCAGGGGGAGCAGGACACAGAGGAGGATCAGGATGCAGGGTCTGAGCAATGAGGAAGACTGCAACATGTCTTCTTCTCCTATCCTTCACTATATAAGGAAGACCATTCTCTCCCATTTCTTCACCATTTCCCTTTTGATTTATTCTAAGAGTTAGCCTTGAGTGTGGAGAACGTAGTGGTGTTGTCAATTTGGTGAGAGGTCGCCGGAGTTGGGAGTTATTATCCGCAGAAGTTTTGCTGGAAAATTCTAAAAACCTTCATTTAAGCTCGGGGTAAGCCCTTAGATATATCTAGTGCTTAGAATGTTCATATAATTCGTTTTTACTTTCATAAATGGTCATTTGGTTGAATTTGGTGTTTGACATGTTTGAAGAACCAAGAATCATAAACCTTGAAATTGTTGTTAAAACTACGAATTAATGATACCCAAATGATCTATGAACATTGGAGAACATTTCTATATAGTTTAATTGAACTTTGGTGACTAAAATGATATTTTTGAAAAATGGACCCAAAGTAGGATACGATGAACAGTGATTGAAACACCTTCGGGTGATCGATCACCTAGGGTGGATCAATCACCAGAGGTGGATCGATCACCAGCCCTGGATTGATCACCCGATTTATTGATCTGAATACTTTTCTGAAAATGCTATTTTTGGAGCTCTAAAATCCTATTTTTGATACAAATTAATTATGATCAATATTAAGATGATTTCTAGAAATAAAAATTATGCTTTGGACAAATAAAATCTTACGTGATGTAGGGCCAAAACCCAAACCTTAAAAAATTAACATCTCGGTCAAAGCCATTCTCCCATTTTTCCAACAAGCAAGCAAAACTCAGCCCCAAATTTCAGCTCCTTCGTGGTCTTCAAACAGCAAAAATCAGCCCAGCATCCACCCCAATCAAGTAAATTCGGCCCAGCATCTCGGTCAACAGGGCACAACGCAGCAGCAAAGAAGCGGTGAAGTCGAATTGCAACCAAGTCTCAGATTGAAGCAAGAAATCAGCGGTGAATCATTCAAATCCTTTCAAAATCGATGTGTAACTGAACGGCGAATTCAATTCTCACAACAAATGCTCTAACGTTCGGCCATACCCTCCGCTTTTGACCAAGTAAGCAACGGTTTCTTCTACGCTACTCTCTCAAATCAACGGGAAGAAAACCTCTGGTGTATAAATTGAGCACGAAATTGCAGTTTCAAGTAGGGGGGAGACGAACTACAACAGCTCCAATTTTCGAAATTCTTCATCTTCTTCTTTTAGGTAACCAAATAAAATGGCTTCCGGAATTAATCCGGAAGTCATCCTTGTTTTTTTTCCCTCTCTTGTAGATTTCTTTGTTAAAGTGTTGCTTTATGTAAGCTTGTTCCTGTTAAACAAATTGAAAATTAAAAAAAAATGTTTTTGTTCATTTTTCTTGTATGTTCTTTTTTGAATGTTTATATTAAATCCCTTATGAATGAAAATTGATTCTTACTAGTTTCTTCAATTTTTGCGCAAATTGATGTTAAATTGGTTGAATTATAAATTTGAATTCATAAGTAGGTTGGTATATCGAATTCGGTTATCATTGAAACTAATTTAGCTACATATTTTAATTAAATGATTCTCGAATTCATACGTGAATCTTTTTTGTGACTTGTGTTTTGTAAAATTTTAAGGTAAATGAACTTCTTAGCCACATAAGTTGAACATTTTCTTTAAGATTCGTTATAAAGTGATTGTTTATGTCTTGGTGTTCTTGTTTGTTATTTTCATAAAAATTGGGATTGTTTAAGCGCAATAAACAACTCTTGATTTAATGAAAATATGTAATGTTCTTTTATGTGAATAGATTAAAATTCTTATGCTTCAGTTGTTCAAGAAGACCTGCAAAATATTTTCATCATTAGACGTTAAAGTTTATTAAAGTGTATCAAATTTTCTTCATGAATACTTTGTGCATGGGAGTTAGAATGAAAGAAAGATTCGCTCTCTTATAAACTTTTTCATCTTTTGGAATCATTATTTGAGCGATTGAGGTGAGTGGGGGTTCAAAGTAACCAAAAGGCGTTTGAGTTCTTGACTCCGGGCCTTATAAGAGTTGATGATCCTCTATATGTGGTCAAGGATATGAATCAACTCAAGCCTTACGTAATATATTGTCTACGTGCCTATTATACGTGTAATGTTCAATTTGTGTTCGTTCTTTTTTTTTAATTTTGTTTCGGGTTTTTGGCGGTGTTTCTTGGGTTACCTTAGTTGGAGAAGCTGATAATCTATTGAGCTTGTTTCCCCCATTTTTATTAAAAAACCCAAAAAAATAAGAAAATATAAAAAACCAAAAAAAATATTTACTTTTCATTCAACCCCCCCTCCCCCTTGTGTTTAATTTTAAGTTATATTTATAAGTTTTTATATTTATTTAGTTATAAGTTTTATTATAAGTTTTATACGTCTTATCATATGTGTAGTAGTTAGTTTTTTTATTTTATTTCGTGACAACGTGTTTGCATACTAAATTGGTTTTAAAAAGTACAAACTTTCTCCGTGGGATCGACCCTTACTTGCCCCAGCTATAGTTTTTATTTGATTATATTTTGGGGGTTAGCTAAGGTTATTTATAAATTTTTAATTTTTTTGGACCGCACGACAAGTCCCCAACAATAAGCTAGAGTGTTAACACTCGATGCTAGGCCGCTATTTGTTATTGGATATTATCATGATTATTATTGATTGATGATTATGATGAATATTATTGATTAATGATTATGATGATTAAGCTTTGATGAAATTTTTGAACTATGATTCAAAATAAATGGATTGATGAGAAATGAATTGTATTGTTAAGGCTATCTAGAAGACCTCTAAGATAGACCTCAGATTTGAATAGGCCTTGCAGGTAAAAATATTAATATTCGGTAGCCTTGGGTTAAAACGTACGTACGGGATCCGCAAACCAAACTTGAGGATCACTCATTTGGGGATACCACCTAACCCAACAGTGAGCATTCCGCTATTCGGTTTCTGGTTGTACCTTAAGAGCAAGCTAGTTTAAGAGTTGGAAAAGCATTTTAAAAATTATACCTTAAACTAGCATAGCTTAAGAGTTGGTCAGAAGTACTTTAAACTAGAATATAGTTAAAAAGTTGGTTAGAAGTACCTTAAACTAGAACTAGTTTAAGAGTTGGTAAATATTAAAGAAGTTGGCCTTAAACTAATAATAGTTTAAGGATATTGTTGATGAATGTTGAATCTGAATATGAGTATTGAATATTGATTATTGAATGTCTGAACTAAACATTATGTGCATGATTTCAAATTATTTGATTATGAATTGATATTCAATTTATATGGATGTTCGCATTAGATATCCTTACTCAGCTTCAACGCTGAGTGTGTAGTATGTTTTACTCCCTCCGTCCGGAAATATTCTTCCCATTTGACTTTTCTTGGTCAAAGTTGGTAAACTTTGACTATGATATGTGGAAAAAATACATTGTATTACGATATAACTTTAATATGAATATATTCATTTTGAAATATAGTTTACAAATATCAATTTTTTATAAAATATATTCATACATAAATAAAGATATTAGTGGTCAAAGTAAAATCTTGGAGACCGTAAAAAGTCAAATGGGAAGAACATTTTCAGACGGAGGGAGTATTTGTTACACGGAGGTAAACAAAAAGAATGAAGTGATGAATTCCTAGAGGCGAGATGGTTGGGATGGATGTGTTAATTTTAATTACTATTTTAAAAGACATAAGTTTATTATGTTTGTAATTGTGATTTATTAAGCTTCCGCAACTTTAAATACTCCGTTATTATTCTGAATACTTTATCATGAAATAAAGTTTTAAAATGTTTGAAATAGTTTGAATGTTTACGAATACCAAGTTTATACTTTAGTCCAAAAGGGGCTACAGACCTGGACAGATTAGGGTGTTACATTGTAAGAACAAGTTCTTGGTGATGCACTAACCTCGAAGAGTCCACAGGTTTGACGAGAATGGAAATGGGCTGGTGCCAAGTAAGTTATGTGTAGAATTAGATGTGTAATATGTATGTTGATTGCATGATGTCACATTATTGTTATGAATTTTGGATTCGCTTGATTGTTTACCTTGACGTTAGATCTTTCTCACTCAGCGTCATTGCTGAGCGTGTAGTTTTGATTGTTTGCTACACGCAAGTAATCAAGGACATGATGAACCTAGAGCTGATCCCACAGGGCAATGAGGAGGAAGAAATGTGGGTTGAATTGATTGAGGATTTGGAATTAATTACTATTTCTGAATAATTTATTACGTTTTCGGACTTGAGTCCTAAGTTGTGTTTGCTAAAATAGATTAAGCTTCCGCACTGTTTGGATTTTTACTCCAATGATGGATTTAATTGTGAGAACTGTTTAAATACTTTATATTCTTTTGAAAATATTGTGTGTTGGGATGCCAGATTAGTAGCAACCTTATTCGTTAACCCATGTATTCGGTTTATGCAGGTTGGGTACTATAGTCTCCCTTAAGCAAAACCACCATGTTATTCCACAGAAACTCTATTGTCATCGCCGCATAGTCGTGTGTCCTAGCTTCTATAACCATTGGACGCCAAGGATGATGTTTGGCCGTGTATGGCTAGAAAAAAAGAAAAAATGGTCCCATGGAGACTCAATTGCTGCCCTAAACAATGTTATCATAGGGGAGCGAATCGTCGTTACCCACGTAGACACGGAATGGAGACACAATGAGTAGGGCTGTTCATCGGGCAAAGACCGGACCGAATTGGACCGACCCAGACCATACCAAAGACCCAATTGAATAAAATCACGGACCCAAGACCAGACCTAAATGTATTCGGGTTTGGAACAGACCGGACCAAAATACTTAGGACCGAACCGGTCCCGACCAGTTGGACCGAATAAAAATATATTTTTTAATTATTTCGATCAATTAAATATAAATTTTTAGGCTTTTTAATTTTTTTTTGAATGCAGGCTTTTAGGCTTTTTATTTTGTACCATGCAGATAGAAAAAAATTGAAAAATAGACAAAAAAAATAGATACATAACATGGATTACTTCTATGTAGAATCATAAAAACTAATGTAAAACTTTTGTTTCGGAATTATTATTTTTAAAATTACTTAATAAAAAAGCTTTTTAATTAAACAAATAAAGATATCTATTAAAATAGGGCATCAAGGTGTGATACGCAACATAAAAATTAGACTTTTAGTATTTAGGTCTTTTAGGTCCAATTGGGTTATAGGCCCATTCAGCTCAATTGGTCCGGACCTAAATTATTTCAAGTTTGGATCAAATCAGACCAAAACCTGAACACCTTAATTTTTTGGACCGAAGACTGACTAAAAATCCATCCTGTCTGCGTTTGGTCTGGACCTAAACTTGAATAGCCCTAACAATGAGAATGAGAAGTTGAAGCTTTGACACAGGGCATGATGGATGAAAATAAACGTGTGCTACCTCGTCAATTAATACTTGTACCTTGGAGTTTGAAACCCGTCTGGCTAAGCAGAGAAAATTTGGCATGGCTACCCCATCCATAGCATTCAAACTAGAAATATTCGCCAAGATTGGTTGAGTTTTACCGAGTGGTCCAACCGGAATATCTTCATCGTCCTCATCGCATAAGAGAAGAAAACAACCACAACGATGAGTCTTGGTTCACATTTAATCACGATTGTAATACAATCCCTTTGCACGGGGTTCAAGCTATTCAATACATGGAAGATGACATACGAGGGTAGATACCAACTGCTTTGCATGACAGAGTAGGCTATATTCCACAAGGGAATACTCTATACTTGCTTGCGACTTCCCCTAGACAGAAACCAAGCTAACTAGGAGGGATTCCAGAGAGTGGAACGAGTAGAGACCGAGTGTAGTAAAGTATCATGCTCCGCCTCTAACTCTCATACCAACTCAAAATAGGTGGACAACGTGGCTGGTTTCAACAAGGCGATCCCATGCTGAGGGTGTGGTTTAAGACTAGCATGAAATAAGGACATTAAATTAATTTTTGTGGCCCTAGTAACATGGATTAAGATATGCTCAAAAGCAGTTTGATATTCCAAAATGCTACAGGTTTGTCGAAGATTAGTGAGTTGCCCAAAATAATCCAAATAGTGAAAATGATCAAACCGTATCTTAAATTTCTCCATAATATCTGCATAAACAATATGAGTCTGTCGTTCATGCACCAACAAAACCAATAAACAGCGGGTCCCTCCAACATTAAAGAAATATAATGTAGGCAAACTTTGAGTGGTGTTTTGTAAAACTTGAAGTATTCATTGACTTTGTACAGCCAGCGTAGGGGTTTGGAACCATCACACATCACCGTGATCAGGTTATTATTATTATTATTTGTATTATTATTATTATTATTATCATCATCATCATCATCATCATCATCATCATCTTTTGAATAACGGGTTGCCTCCCGTTAAGCGCTTGTTTTACATCAGTAGCTTGACACTCACCCACTTTTTCCATGATTTACCGATTCGAGAGTCATAAAGTTTGGCCATTTTGACTCTCTTCTGGTGCCACCTTGTTTAATATTCTACTGGGTCAAGGTTAGGATCCTTGACTCACCCCTATAGCTTGGCGGCAACAGGATATACGGAGGAGACTTTTAATGGACGGGTGGTGGTGGGGGTCCATTTGGTAGATCCACCTCTTTGGCCTACCTTTATTGCTAGGTTTATTTCGTCCTCATCATCAATGAGCTGACTATCCATTTCGAACTTGATAATTACAACCATACTTACCCCATGGAAGAATCCTCATTATTACTCATCAAAAGTTTGTCCCAACTTGTTTGGCTCTAGCTATCCTTCGGGAAAACATAGTCACATCCGTTAAGTAGGGAGTCAAAGAAAGTTTGATCTGAATCTTCTAATGAAGCATTATTTACCCATGTTTCTATAGACGGAATTGGTTATACTGTGTAGAGTATTTCCTCATCTATAGATTCCTCTTCAGACTCTTTGTTTTTGGAATCTTGGGGGTCGGTTGTGGGCTCTATTTCCACAAGAATAGGTTCCTATAAAGGTGTGTCTTTATCAAAATTAGGAAGAGGGGAGTATATTGCCACAAGGACAACTCCCCCCTTTTCTTCTTTAGTTGGGGATTGTGTGGGTGGCTCTGAGTCAGGTTCCTCGGTTGGTTCCACCTCATGTACGACTTAGTTTGGAGGGCATTCAAGTAACATCACCATAGTAACCCGATCGAGCATTTGCATATTTGTGCTATATTTGGGTTTCTGTGATGGTGTCAGACTTGGTAAATCTACGAGAATAGTTTCAGAAGAAATTTCAACCTCTTGACCTGCTTGATGTGGCTTCAACGTTCTCAATTGCTCGAGTTCTTCCTGGGATTGGATTTTTTGCGCTTCTAAGAAATTGAGTTTGTTTGATCGTAGAAGAATATGATGATTCATGTGTCTTCTCCAAAATTCAAAAGAAAGGTCATCATACCGATCATAGGCAAGAGACTTGACAAATATATTATGCATTGCTAATAACCAATCAAGTTCCTGATAAGTCTATCCCATTCTTATTTTATTCAACATATTTTAAATGTTATTGCATGAAAATAGCGATAAAATTACCCATAAAGATGTTTGTTATCGATAAAACATATGTTTTGTTTTAAAAAAGATAAAAAGGGTTCCAAGTTAGATTGGTGTGATTAAATTTTTTGTCCCAAAGTGGACGAAAACTACAGATTTTCAAGATCTTTGAGGAAACAAGCTTCTGGGAAGTCTAAACCAATATTCGGGAGCAAAAAGTGGCGATTTTGGACCAAGATTAGGCTGGAAACCGTCCAGAGCCCGAAGTTTCGAGATCTGGATCTTGGGCACCCAACTTGGTAGCCCAAAGTTGGACACCCAAGGGTTGCTTGGAGCGGATGCAGGGGAATACGTGGCTTCGCCACATGGCACACAGAGAATGGACGGCGAGGTTGGGGCGTCCAAAGCTATATGCCCGAACTTGGACGCCCCAGATCCGGAGTATATATACCCCCTCGGGTTTCCACCATTCACCATCATTCACAACTTCCTCCTCTTCCCTTTTTCATCCGTTATTGAGTTCTTCCTTAAATTCATAGTTTAGATTTAGATTTAATTCATAATTCCCTAAATTTGAGTTCTTCCTTAAATTCGAATTCTTGTCTCATCTAAGTAAACCCAATCATACAAAAATAGCCGATGATACTAAAATCACCAGGAATATTAGTATCACTATCGTTCCTTCTCAATTGCATTCGTCCTTCTTCACGATCTCCTGCTTATCAGATCATTGGCCAATGATAAGCCCGTTTTGTATGCACTTATCTTTTCTATATTCAATGTGTTATTGTGTAGTTTTGGAATATACAAGACAATTTCACAATGATTTTTATATGCTTTTGTTTATAACTGTAATATTGCACAAAAGTTATATCTTGTAAGAATCATAAAAACTAATGTTAAAAATTGTACAAAAGAGGGTGAATGTTGGAAAATGCATAGCATCAAGAGAATTGAGGTCAAACTTGAAGAAAATTGTTTCAAGATAAAGATGACAAGACAAGAAAGAGATTGAATTGGGTCTTGAAGAAAAAATAATTGAAGAAAATGGTGAAAAATGAAGTTTTGGACCGAAAAGCACCTCAGGCCCACGCTTGTCGGATGCCTGGACCTCTGACGAAATCATACCACAAATTCAATCACGAAAAATCAAGAATCTGGCTTAGGCGTCCGCCTGGACCTCAGGCCCACGCTTGGACTTACGTACCTGCTAGCGAACGGGCCGAGAAGCCTAGGCCTCATACAGGCCCCCGCCTGGACCTCAAGCCCATGCCTGCTTGAGGCCCGGACTGATTTTCTCCTATAAAAGCAGGGTTTCGCCCCTCTATTCTCCAGCCAACCAATTTTGGGTCTTCTAAGGCCCAGACCTCCTATCTAGCTCCCATTCTCAGTTATATTTTAATATTTTAGTTTAATTTTGTTCTAGTTGTCCTAAAGTAGCCCTGGCTCTGCTCTCGGTTGTAAGTTTATTTTTACAACTTTTAATAAAATGTTCTTTTATTTTATGCACTGTTTATATTTAGTATGGGTTAGGACCCGGATTAGGGTCCTAGCTAAATTTGGGCATATACTTTGTATGTTTATTTAATAGTTGGAATAATTGTTCTAGAATTATTTTTATTTTTAAATTAATTAAATATGTCGAGAGAAAAATTGATTAATAATTGAAAATTAGTTTTTGCCTTGTCTATGAGGATATAAAATTAATTAAGCCAAATTTTTTAGAACAAATTAATGATACCTTGAGAGAGGATAAGTTAATGAAATATTTGTGACAGAAATATTATTATTCCAATTATTTATAAAATATGTGACAACAGTAGTAAACTCAGATGGTGCCTTGGCCTGAAGTCTAGTCCTATACCCATACTATTTATTTTGTTTTTCTCAAAAGCACCCAATAGTTTAGTTTATTTTTATTTTCAAATCAAATCGAGAAGACTTCTAGACTCGTCCAAACATTGGCCTAGTTATAAAATTAGCTAATTCCCTTCGTCTACTTCTCGAGAGATACGACACTCGGAGAAAACTGACCCTTCATAGGGAATGTTGATTTTCCGAAAAACTC